AGAGTTGTTTTATGACGGGGTTGAATTTAAAAACGGAGTCCAAAGATTTAACAAGAACTACCGAATTTATTCACAAACTTTCAACCGTCTTTTAACAACAGAAAACTGTAACAATCGATTCTCGGCTCTGTCTGGAAACATATGAACATCATAATCAATTCAGAGCCATAAACATCCAATACACTTTGACATACATTGCATCAAACCAAAATAAATTCACATCACTTCAGTCGAGCAGACCTTCAACGCATTATGGGCAGAATTTCTAAGTCCTACCAAAATCTAACATATCTGGAGATCCGTACTCCACCAAGTTTCGAACAGTAATGAACCCGCTTCTCTCATCCCATCTCCGAATTCGATACAAACAAAAGCGCCGCATTTCTTCGTCCTTCGCGAATACCAGCAACATAAATCCATGAATGAAAATCCCTCACATAAGAACCCTGGGATGCTTCCCAACATTCCATTCCCACACCATACAAGGACGCGCGATTAGACACGCCGATTTTAATACCGCGCGTACTGGCGCCATCGGAATTAGCAGAATATTCAAGCCAATCAATTTGCAAAGTAACACATATAGCATTCAATATTTTCCGCCAAATAATATACAAATTTCAAAAGAGAACAAACCAGTTTTCTCAATAGTCAAAGCCATCCATGTCAGATCGAAAACTAGTCTTTGTAAATACAACCCGAGAGTAACCAATTATCCATACTCTGATCAATCAGTTTTCAGTACTGATCCACAAATTTACATTTTCAATAACTCAAAACGCGGAGTCTTGTGGTGGGTGCTAGCATCAATGGTAATTCTTAGCAACTTTCTAATCTAGGGTTGGATCCGGCGACGATTGTGGGATCCCTTCCATTCAGAGCATCCTACCATAAGAAGTGAATTCTCATGCCTCTTTTCAGAGGAGTCTGACCCGATTGTCCAACCACTCTAGATTACTAAAGACAGGGGCTATGGTACTTGAAAAGCGACCACAGGGCTTATCCTTAGTTCATTTTTGCCAGAGTACAAAAAGAGAGGCCAGCCCACACCTAGAAGACTCAATTTCTTACACTCCCCCCGAAGGCGGGAGAGCGCGTAGAGAATCGACCGGCTTCCAAGGATCCCGATCTAGAATTGAGGATTCTGTGATGGAAATACGATTTACTCCCCTTTGTACAACTCCTTCAGAAGTCTCCACAGAAACTTTTCTTACTACACCGTCTTTAGAAGGATGTACTTCCACCACTTTTCCTGGGATCCATGAGCTAATGAAAGCATTACTGCCCTTTTCATCTACCAGGACTTGGTCTCCAATTTTTAGCTGGGTAAGACGTTTTCTTCCCATACTCCGCTCAACATTGAGCATAAGCAGGTAGGTCCTCCTCCATTTTTTCCAAAATTGTTTTACCGTGTCCGCAACAAATTGTATCATTTTTAAACTGGACCCTGCTAGCTCTTCTGGCATTCGCACAGCAGCTGCTGGTCTCAGTAACATTGCCGGACATAATGGGAGGCCTTCATCGTCAATAGCAAGTGGTCTCTTATTTAATATCGCCTCTGCCTTTATCAAGCAGGTCTCAAAGACATCGGCAGACCATCTGGGACCTTTCATGCTACCCAGGAGACATTTTTTAATTTCCCGTATCATCCTTTCCCAAGATCCTCCCCAATGGGGAGATCCTGGAGGATTTGTGCGGAATTCAGTCCTCATTTCGGTGGCGCATTTTTCTTGTATCTTTTCCCACTCATTAGCACCACTGATAAACGAAGTTCCGCAATCACTCCATATTAGTTTAGGGGTGCCCCTTCTGTCGACAAATCTTGACAGGGCCAACAGAAATTTCTCTGTACTGAGTCCAGTACAGACCTCCAGGTGAATTGCCCGGGTAGTCATGCACATGAACAATAATCCCCACAATTTCTGCCCACCTTTTCCATCATAGGGACCAAAATGGTCCATTCCACAATGAAAAAATGGGGCAGCTCCTTCTGCCAATCTGTTTTCATGTAAGGGTGCAGCAATTGTTTTAACTGCAATCGGATTTCTATTGCGACAGAAGACACAACGGAACAGTTCCTTCCGAACCGTTCTTGCCATACAACAGATCAAAAATCTTTCCCTCAAAAACGACTGAGTTATTTTTGCCCCGGCATGATTGTTTTTGACATGAGCATCCCTTACCAGCAGCCTAGTTATAGGAGCTGACTTGGGAAGGATCATCGGGTACTGCTCGTCGGCAGTCAACCCTACCGCATTGCCCAGTCTCCCTTCACTGCGGAGGACTCCTTCAGGATCCATCCACACAATCCACATGGAAAGGGGGCCGCTTTTCAGCAGGCTTTTTCCTTCCCTTTCGATTTTTTCGATTTCATTCTTGAAATAATGTTTTTGAGCGATTTTTATCAGCTCCAGTTCTTTTTGTCGCAGTTTGTTAACATCCTTCCTTTCTTCTGCTGACAAAACTTCAAAAAATTGATTCATGTCCCTAAAGGGATCTTCCATTTCAATGATTACGAAAACGGCTTCAATCTCCTTCGTTTTCATCTCTTCAGTACCTTTTCCCAATTCTTTGGGAGGTGTTGGCCATTTTTCCTCATTTAATTTTAAGAATTCAGGACCATGGAACCAGAAGTCGTGATTCTTTTCGAATTCACTGGCCCCCATTCCTCTGCTGATTAAATCGGCAGGGTTCTTTTTCGTGGGTACATGTCGTACTTCCACTGGAGGTTGATCCCTTTGAGATCCCTCCATGAATTCTTGGATTTCACCGACTCGATTCGCCACAAAGGTGACATATTTTGAGGCCAGGTTATTTAGCCATCCCAATACCACCATGGAGTCCGTCCATATAAAAATGCGAGAAATATTTATTTCTCCTGCATATTCTTGGAGAATGGCTTCTGCCATCCTTTTCCCAATCAGACATCCTTGCAATTCCAACCTTGGAATTGAGGTCGGTTTTGTAGGCGCTACTCGGGATCTGGCAAACACAAAGCAAGTTTGGCTGCCTTGTTTGAAATACGCCACCGTACCATATCCTTTTGTGGAAGCATCGGAAAACACATGCAGTTCCATAGGAGCATTGGTGTCTTAGGCGCTACTCGGGATCTGGCAAACACAAAGCAAGTTTGGCTGCCTTGTTTGAAATACGCCACCGTACCATATCCTTTTGTGGAAGCATCGGAAAACACATGCAGTTCCATAGGAGCTTTGGTGTCTAATCCCAACCATCGCGGGATCTGCCACTCTTTGGCTCTTAGGACGTCTGCGATCCACTTTTCTCCAACACCCCTCATTTCTTGGCTCACTTGAGCCTTCCAATTTTTTGATTTGACCCATATTTTTTGCATGATCAGTTTGCCTGCGAACGTGTAAGGTCCGAGGATAGGACGTCTGCAATCCACTTTTCTCCAACACCCCTCATTTCTTGGCTCACTTGAGCCTTCCAATTTTTTGATTCGACCCATATTTTTTGCATGATCAGTTTGCCTGCGAACGTGTAAGGTCCGAGGAAGCCGATTGGGTCAAACAAAGATGCTAATACTGACAGGAATTCGGCGACAGTTAAGTCTCCCTTTTCCTTTAGTTTGCCATCTTTGGAGATCTTCTTTCTGCAAGAAAATCCGAATTGATCCTCTTTTGGATCCCAGCGTAAGCCAAGAGCCTTAGAGATCTTATTTTCTCCTTCCCCTGTCTTTATTTCCACTGCTTCTTTTTCTTTTCTTTCGGCAGGGATCTTTTTTAAAGCATCAGGGTGATTTGACTTCCATTTCGTTAAAATGAAGCCAAATTTCGCCATGGCTGCGTCAACTTTTTTGACTACAGCTTCTGCCTCTTCTGCCGAGTCAAACCCAGCGTAGAGGTCATCCACATAAATAGACCTGGTAGTGATCCTCCTTAAGGTAGGATCTTCCCCCCCTTCCAATTCCCCAACCCTTCGCACACAAAAATTTGCGACGGCTGGAGAACAAGTTGCTCCAAAAATATGTCTGTTACTGACATACCATTGATCACCTTGTTCGGGGTCCCTGAATAAGAACATGAGCTTACTTCGGTCCTCTGGTTTAACCAATATTTGCGGGAACATTTCTGTTACGTCCGCATTAACCACGACCTTTTTCAGCCTGAACCTCATCAGGACCCCAGTGACTGTTGGCTGCACCTGTGGGCCTTTTCTCAAGGAAGAATTACTCTAGATTACTAAAGACAGGGGCTATGGTACTTGAAAAGCGACCACAGGGCTTATCCTTAGTTCATTTTTGCCAGAGTACAAAAAGAGAGGCCAGCCCACACCTAGAAGACTCAATTTCTTACACGTATTTAACTGCTCTTTCGCAAGAATCCAACTGTGAGGTGAAACCATGATTCAAAGTATGGTATACGACCCAAAAATAATTTCCACTCGAAGTTGAGGCGCATTCAGCTTTAAAACTGAATCAAGCAATCGATTTTTATTAATATTTAGGGACCAGATATCTTGCATGACGCGAGGCCCTTTCCTTCGAAACAAACGCTTAAGAGTAGAAATAACATATGAATGAACGCTTTTTATTCAGAGAAAATCGCTCGAGTGCTCAGGGGTATTGTGCAGATGATAGGAGGTGGAGTATATAACTAAGTCATCGGAACATTCCACAAAAGCGCAGGTACGAACCGTATATTTCAGTCATAGACGCAATGTCGTGCAGCACGCAAGGAAAGAATCAGCGCTCGGGATCTGGACAGGGGGAAAAGCGTGAACCGAAGGGATCATCTGCAGCAGGTTCTCAGGAAACAAGCCGTTCCACTCACATTGGAGCGATCGTGAACTAGGAACACGCGTGCATACCAAGCAACACCTGCAACGTTGCGATGTACGCCGGGATCGTTGCCGGAATATAACGAAGTTTATTGATTGTATCAGCGAACAATAACCGACCCCCTGCTTATGCACGGTGACTCCGGACCTCTCCCGGCGGATTAAATCAGCGCGTTTTTTCAGAAGAGAAAGAAGCCCAGCTACTTTGGCCGACATCGCTCAGCGTCTCTCTTACGCTGATCAGATGAAAAAAAAACTATACACAGATACAGCAGCCCTCCACTCACGGTAGGCCGAAATTCAATGCAGTGTTGTCGCAAACGAGAATGATGTAGGAAACAAGATTGCGGAAATATCTCCTTTGTCAATCGTGCAATAAGTGAGGATCGTTTTTTGCATAGCACGTTGATGAGTTACCAACCTATTCTCGTCAGAGAAAGTGTCCCGATGCTGAGACTCGTTAACATACATTTTTAAATTTAAACAATTACATTCGGTTCGGCAACTTTCCCGAGCGTGGAAACCTTAGCAACATCGGTAGGAAGTAAAACTGAGTAGAATCTTGATTAACCAAATTTTGAAGTTATAATTTTGGAACTACTGTAAATGCATCCTTGCAGCTCCACTGGACTTCTTAGCTGGATTTCGCACGATAAAGATCATACTGTATTCTAAAAATTCATTACATTTACTCGCTGTAATGCAAATGCATCCGGAAAAATGGGTTGTTCAATATTCACAGGAAGATTTTTCAAATTAAGTCAGCTTATTGAAGAAGCCATTTTTTTGTTGAGGATGATCGATTTGTTTTAATAAGGCGAAGGTATCCAACCATTAACCAGGACACCTAAACTTTGCGGAAATAGATACATCCACAAAGCTCATCTAACTTGATCGGTGGGTTGCGCATGTCACCTCAGAAGCAGTAAACTGCAACGCATGAAAAAATGCTTTCGGTCAGAATCCAGATATCAATAATCAGCACCAAAGGTTGGAGGAAAAAAAATCGAGGTTCAAGGCACTCAAAACCACAAGAAAAAGTCTATCGCGATTAGTTCAAAGCCTGTCTTTCCTCGCGAAAAGTACGGATCTCGGATCATTTAGAGATTTAAGTTCGCATGTTTTCCCAGCTTTCATGCATGGAGTACAAACGTTTCATAATATTAAAACGTACTTTTACCAGCATACTTCAAAGAAGCACTGCAGTATTTTCTCAAGATCGACACGAGTCCGAACAGACGCTTTTCTTCATCGCAGAGAATCAAAGTGAAGGAAACAAAGACGTTCGCGGGTATAAAAATAAATTTGCTTTAAAAAATCCGTTTTTAACCTTTGTCTGACCCTATGGTTTATCTTCATTTGCCCTTTTTTTCTGAAACCCCGAAATGGGTAATACAAAATTAAAATTAGAAAATTCCAACAACTTACTCATCATAATTGCTCAAGATTTTGTTGGGTTTGAGTCAGTCAAAAATTTATCTCAAATACAGACAATGCAATTGAGCAACCATTGCACTGTATACTGATGCCAATTTTTTTCTGGTCATTCAGTTTTCGAAAAAATACTAAAAATCTGAGAATGCCAGGAAAATCCGAGATTATCGGCAGGTCTGATGTGAAATAAATTTCCAGTCATTATATCTGAAAATCTCGTCATAAATCATTCAGTACAACAAACGCTTTCTGTGGACCCCAAGAGTTTGTTGTGATGTTATTTTATTACAGTCTACTTCACACAGCCGGGAACGATGAAATGCGAGAGTAGCTTCGGGACAATTCTTCAGTGAATGAAGCTCCTATTTTCACACCCAGGGCATCCAGACTCGAAATTGCCGGACGAAGTCGGCCCCTCAATTTCCACCTAACTTTAGCCGTAATGTGCCGCCCTAATTGTCTCAACGGATATGCCATCATAATACTGAGCCATCAAAATGAAAAACTCAAATTTACATGATTGCGTCAGCCTTAGAATTCCGTTGCGTGCCAAGCGCTGGAAGAGCATGCTGTTACAGAAATCACGATTTGCAAAAAGCTAAGTGCTTTTGAGAATTCCGCGTTGTATTAAAACACTTGGGACACTGCTACTGGAAGATTAACTTACTTCGAAACGCACCTGAAAAATGCCGAAAGCGCACAACGCGCACTGATCCTGAACTGTTGAGAAAATAACGGTGCATTTACAGTAGTACACAAAAGCGCCAAGTACCAGTGAATTGAAGCGTCTTTTTGATAACAAGATCGTAAGCTTTATTGTCCTGTACTGTATTGATGAACGAATGAGGAGTTGCACGTGAAAAATCAACGGTGATCATGTCGAAAATAATGCACTGATAATGGGATACTCGACGAAAAAAAACCTTTGATTGGAGATGAAATGTATACATCCAATGCTCAAGAATTTCTTCTTTCAGCGTGCAATCCTCCCGGTCGTTCTACAATACAGCAATCTAAACCTGATACAAGATATCCCGTCACATGGTGTTCTCAAAATGCTATTATCTTTCCATTTACTCCGCGAAGTCCTGTAAATTTTGGTCATAGAATTGTAAGGAAGATCGAAAATTCGAGACAATCATATTATCCTTGGTAGAGTTGAACTTGCCGTTGAAGAACCAAGATCTCTTAGCTCGACTCCACGGAAATCTGGGGTTTAGGGATGCTACAGTAACCGTTTCCAACCAACATTCGAAGAATGACGCGATTCGAATGCAGGCACGCACGGGCCCAGTTGTTCAGAAATAAATATGGTACACTGGCAAGCCTCGGAAAATCGGATTATTAAAGTACCCCTCCGAAAGCAGCCTCTCGGTAGCGTCGGAAAAGAGCCTTTTTGTTCAGCACTTCGAAACGAGTTCAACGTGGGATAAAAATAATAAAATCGGCTGAGAACCACGTACTGTACTCTTGCTTCGACTTTTGCAGGGGTAAGGAAGAAAAAAAATGGATGAAAACCTGAAAAGTATACTGAAGCAACTCACCGAAACAGAATCCCGATAATCCATAGTCGGCTGGTCCAGGTCGGACTTCGGTGAGGCTCGGCGGTGCTTCCGCAGAGCCCTGGCTCGGGCTCGCGCGCGCGCCTGTAGCTCGTGTTCAAGGGCGCGCATTTCCCGCTGGATCGCCGCCCGCGTCGGCGAGCTCTGGGGCTCGGCTTGAATCCTTCCAGCCAGACCCAGCAACCCTCCAGAACTGGTATTTCCCCGCAAGAACTCTTCCACCATACGATCGCCGTTCATCTATGCATTACAATGAAGTCGTTCGTCATCATCTTTCCTACATTGGCTGTACAGTACACGGTACTTCCTTCATCAAGAGCCTCATACAGTACTGTACGCGAGATTATCTGACATCCGAAAACCATGAGCGTTAAAACACCGAAGAAACAAAAACCCGAGCCTTCAATATTGTTTTCATAAGGAATTATTCTGGAAACGCGTAATTTATGTCATTCACGCTATTTCGAGGGTTTCTTTCAGAAAAATCGGCAGGTTCGCGTGCGTTTTGCCTAGAACGATTTCAAGCTTTTGTACGAAATATAAAATAGGTTCACTGTATCTCACAGAAACCAGACAGGACGGTCCGCTAAAAAAAAGCGCCCGCTTCCGAGGATCGTTCGACATGATAATTGCGCGAGTGAATTGATTTCTCGCACTTATTTACAGGTAACAGAGTCTGAGACTGAAAATCCATTCGAGTCTTAGCAGCTTCAGATACATGGCACCATATTTACTCAGAAACACGTGCACCTTTTTTCTGGAAAAGAAGGAAGAAATGTCGGCTGCGAGACTTAGTTTGAAAAAAATAATCATGAAAACTCAAATCCTGATGTAATTCTTCATTTTATTTTGATTTATCAAGTTGTTTTACAACAAAGTATTATTTGGCAAATGATTTTTTATTTACCGCAAAAAACGGTAGTAGGGATCTTACACGGGAATAGGTTTTTTTTGCAAATTTCGGGTAAAAATCTTGGTGCTAGCCTTACTCCAGGGTACGTGGTACTCGAGTAAATACAGAAAAATACTGTATGGTGTATGCTGTATTTTACACAAGATAATAAAAACATCCCAGTTCTTATCGACTTGGGTAAACAGTGCTAGCGGAAGAAGTCCTAACAGGCTTATTCTACGGCGAACGTAAATAATCACGCGTCCACGGTGCAGAATACAGTTTGGTTCTTGCATACTGGATCAAGAAAAAATCTCGGGTAATTTTTCAACCCTTTTTCTCTGGCGAAATTTACTAGCACACGAGCTCCTGAAAAACATATAGGTGGACTCAATACAACGAAATGCAGCAGACCAGCAAAAACATTTGTCGTATAATGCTGTACAGTACTGGTAGAGACCCCTCTGGGAATATGAAATTCGTCATACTGTACACAGAAAATTGTTGTAGACAAAATCGTTGTCGAGAGAGTCTACCTGCATGTCCAAGTGATTTGCGGAACCCAATCAAGGAGAGAATAATTCCATTCAAGTAATAAGAATTGGAGGATAAGCTTCCGGGTGGGGAAAAAAATAGCACGACGGTTATTGGGGTGAATATTCGGAATTACGATGTATGGTCGCATTTGAAACCCGCGGCGAATTACAGCAGAGTAGCAGGAAATTCACTTCGCGGTGAGATAGAAGCTGGTGCCGTCTTGCACATTGGTTCAACGTTAACGAGAAGAGATAGTGCTTCCTGAAGCCTCGCCTCGCGGGGAAACAAACCCGAGGCATTGTTCCCGGGCGTGATTCGGAGCCATCAACGAAGATTAAGAGGACGCACTGGGTGGGGATTTGCGGCCGGGGTCGACGCAATATCCTGATTGCATTCGCGGGGATTTCCGGCCGAGTTGGCGACTTACCTTGGAGACGCAGAAGTCATCGCCGGCATTGATCAGGTCGGGCTCATCCGGCCGGCCTTCATCACCTGAGGACAAGCCATCCTCCAGCACGGGCATCACCCCCACGGCGCCGCTTTTAGTGCTCTCCGCTTTGCCCGAACCTTCGACGGACGACACGCGGCTACCTTCCTCGCTGTCGGGCTGCTCCGGATCCTCGCACACGAAACTCTCGAGATCACTCGGATCCTCGCACTCTGTCGTCTCCGGTGACAGCGTGAAGTTCCGACTCTCTTCCACCTGGAAACCAGAGGGCAATGCACACTATCACGCGAGCTGTCGATTATGTGCTCCTGAACTACATTCTCCCATCTACCTGTTCATCGATTCGACTCATCACGAAATCAGCTCACTTGAGACTATTCTTAATTTAATAAAAAAATATGTAAGGTACTGCCCTCATAAACAGAGCAGGTTTATACGCTCTTCGTGGTAAACTGCAAGCAGAGAGCGGTACAAGAATGACAAGCGGCACACGACCCCATTTAATAAAACGGTTTTCATTAGTATTAGAGGGTGGATGCTCATAAAATCAGCCCATGCACGGGGGAAATCAACAAGCAGGTAATCCCGATTTACGCAAACCGTACAGGAAAATCGGTGGTATCTCTGATATGCGCATTCCTAGTTTTATATGGCGAAGATGAACATTTGACGGAAATGATCAGACGACTGATGAGAATTCTACGCCCTGCTCGAACATATCCGACATTGCATTTTCCGTACGACACAGAAGCACTGAGCTACAACCACAACCATCAGTTGCTGCCTTATTGTTCCACGCAGTCTAGCTATAAACGTCCGAATGGTCGCATTTAGTGCGAGGATGAGTTCTCTTTGGGGAAATCCAAAAAGGGGGAAGGGGAGGTAATAGCAGGACGACCGTCATCGCCCGAACGGGAAACCTCAGACATAAGCTCACATAAATGTCCTGCTTCATTTCTCTCGCAAGCGAAGCGTGATGCGTCTGAACCAGATGGAGAACAGTAGTTAATATGGGAGGCGATAAATATTACATGATAGCTACATCTGCATGAAAAACACAAAATCAAGATTTCAAAAAGCCTCGGTGCTATCGAAACTGAACATCGATTAACTTCAAAGAAGCTTTTTTTTTAAATCCCACACATGACCCCATCGAGAGGATCAGTCAGAATTTTCCTCGAACCGAAGGCGAAAAGACACCAGAAAATAGCTTATGTTCAATTTGAACTGAGAATATTGAGAGATTCAACTAGCATTCTGGTGCACTTCTAAGAACAACGGTATCCTCCTTGTCTACCGCTGAAATGAAGTCCTTTCAGTTTCCGTTGTGATGCGCGGTATTCGCGGGGAATTAATGCGGTGTGAAAGAAGAATAATTATAGTGATCACCATTGAAACTACTTTACCTATTTTTATCTTAAAATGGAAATAAGGAAGAAATTTCGGTGTTGATGTGAACTTCCAGTACATGGATAGGAAGGCAAATGCGGTTCATTTTCTAGCAAAACTTTTACCACGAGTTCAATTAAGTAAAAAATGCCACGGTTTTTTAAATTGAAAAAGAAGTTCCATCTGATAGGATGGTTCTTGAGTGATCTGCAAATTTCCAGCGACCACTTCGACATCGATGATGCCGCCTACGAGAGTTTCACCACAAAAGGAATTCAGTAAAAATGCGGCCGCTTTGGAAGACGCCAGCATCGCACAGTCCAACCATGCCAAGAGTGGAGAAAAGATAGTGCTTGAAAACAAAGATCAGAACTATATTATTATATGTATCTGTCAACAAGAAAATTGTACGCCGCGTTACCGAGAAGGTGGTAAAAATAATTGCGTCTAATACGGCAAAGAAGCCGGATTTTGAGCTCGTTTCATCCAAAAGATAGAAGATTTTTCTTTTAATAAGTTATGGGCGTGATTTCAAGTTCCCGTTGCTGAAGCCCCGGAGTTCCGTGCAGTTCAAGATTAGACGACGGATTTAGAGTTTAAATATACGCAGGAAAATCGGATAGTAATTTTTCTTCAAAAGAAGTGGAATCTCGGCTTTCGTCACACTTGAAGAGGTTATAACAGTGGCCTGAAATTGATAAATAGAAGTAAGTCTCAAAAGACGATTTTCTTGACTGAACTGAGAGTACACTCAGAATTTATGGTGCTAAATTATTTTACTCAACTCCATGCTACTATCCACACCACGAGTATCACATACAATGTGACTGATTATGGAATGAGCTTCAAGAAAAATAAATTGCTGATCCCCAAAATATCTTATTAGATGAAGAGAGTGAGAGATCCATTCAGTGTGTATTTTAAGAAATTAGTCCGGGCATTTTCTGTTCGATCTATCGGTTTTTTCAAATACATCCGTTCGGGACACATACTGGGTAAAAATAGGTTTCTCAAGATGGCATTTTGTTCCGGAATGACAAGGGTATTTGGATTTAACTTTTGCCAGATCATTAGAAGCTGTAACGTGAAACAAGAATATAATTGGACTCCTGCACACAGCGGGACGCAAGAAATCAATAACTTACAGATACTCTCGCAACATCGGACGGAAATAACTTGAAACCGGAAGTTTCAATTCTAGGGTACTAGACAGTCCAAGCTGGTTGGCAATATGCGACAGCATAGTTAGCTGGTTTACAGGAACAGACTCTGCGCTGATTTTTCCCACGAATCATGTGCTGATAACGGTGTGCGATTCCCGTTAACTTATAATCGAAGTTTCTCACCCGAATGCCAATCTCAGTCTCTCCGAAATCTTCCGTGGACAGCGTTTCTTGATCAACGGATAACGACGAGGAAGGTGAGGAAGTATTTGGTCGAATGATGAGATTCATTGCGTAGCCGTTATTGTTCATCTTCACACGACGGACCGAACTTCGAGCTTGATTGCGGGTTTCGTTATTGGAACTCGTTTTTATAGCTTCGTCGCTATCGCGTTGAGAACGTCGTCCAGCATTAGAGCCAGCCCTGCTCGCTTTCTGTTCATCCTTCGACAAGCTCATAATCGACGGATGAGCACCGCCAAAAAACTCCTCCAAAACTTTCCTAGTTTCTGAAAATTCGTACACCGACTCAGGAGATGGCTGATGCGCAAATGGTGCGTCCTCTTTGGGCTTGAGCACTTGACCCAATTCTGGAATGATGGCCGATAGTGATTCCCGGCCGAGTTCCATCTCATCTTTTACAGGGGTAAGCGTTGTGTCGATTTTGGTATCCTTCAGTTCCCCTTTCTCCGCAGTATTTTGGTCCAAGCCGCCAAGTACGTCTACTTGAGCAAGTATGCGTTGCGGATGGCCTGGTTTCGGCAAATAATTGCCGAACCCGGGGATAGCTGGAGATGCACGATGTCTGGCGCCCAACCTTCGAGGTGAACCTTCGTATTTCGCTATGGGGACAGAACCTGGCAAAAGCAAGCATTGGTACTTCGATGAAAATTTAACCCAGGTGGCGAAGAAATGGTCACAAGAATATTCTGAATGAACGAAAAAACCAGTGTAAACAAAATAATCCAGACAATTAAATGGATTATCAAAAACAGACGAACATACATTTCAATTAATTTGATTCACGAGAGGCGAAAAATGTACCCAATCGACGAAAAAAAAAAGATTCCTAATTGACTGATTCGTAATGGAAAATAAAACGGTTGAAAGAGTTCAAAAATCTTTCTATATACCCAACAGTCTGATAGAAATGCATTCGCTTCAACAAAACGTCCGTCTCAGGGCGGAAACTGACAAGAGCCCGAAGTGAATTGGCTTCGAAAGGAAGCTAAATCTGAAGAAGGTCGATTTGGCGTAACTCACCAATTACGCAAGCAACGGGACTAGAAGTGGGAGAATTGGTTTCTGGGCTGCCACTTGAGTTCCAATTGGGCAACGCAGGTCTTCCCGCGTCAGTGACAGTGGATAAGCAAGCATAAGGCATCGTAGACGATGGCATGCTATCGTCAGAGGTATTTCCGGCGTCAGGATCACCAATTTGGGTGCTTGCAGGCGACATCATAAGCAGCGATTCCGCCAAATTTTTAACGGTCGACCCAGACAACGTATCCAATCTAGAACGCGGATACTCCCCGATTTCGTCAAATGTACGATTTTCTTCTGGCGACGACTGATATGAACGAGTTTTTCCCGAGTCTAAAACGGTCACATCAGGATCTGCACAGGGGCGGTACGTATTTTCTAGCGTCTGAATTTCACTCGCGAATACCGTTTCCTTGTATACTTTCACTGGTCGACACGTCGTTTCGGCATCAACTCGTTTTATTTTCTTGCCCCAGTCGTCGCCGGATCTCTTCCTGCCAGCTCTGGCTCTACTTTGACTAAAGACTTCTTTGGCACCAGCTTCTACCCATTTTGCCTCGGGTTTGCGCAGATCTTCCGCGCAACTGCCACCCGAACCACCGGATTCTGAAAAGGAGTCCTTGCGGCTGCTTGGCGAATCCAGGCCCAACAAGTCCTCATCTCCCTCCTGAAACATGATTCTACGATCCTGACTTTCGCTATAGCACGGCAGCACGGATGTGTTGTTATTCGGAGACATCAACAGGTCGACAGCGCTTCCGTTACTGCGGATGAACATAGGGCCATTGTTGTTGCGATATCGGTCCTGCGATTTCGCGGGCTTTACCCTGCACTTCGGGAAGAGCTCGTCGATATCGTTGGAAATTGTGGTTTCTTCCGTGTTATGTGTTCCTTTCAGAAGGTCAGCCATGGTTCTTCTCGCACCTTCACAACCACATCATCTCCACGCCCCACCAAACCGCCGATTGCTTGGATAGTCATGGATAATCACTGACCCGAAAAAAGAAAATCTTACATTCACATTCGCAGACTTTAATAAATCAAAGCCGTGGGAGCGTGGATTACTCCCTGTAGAAATGGCAGCCCCGGGCGTCATGTCGAACTAGATATGAAGCGACGATCCAAATTACTGTTTATCTCCATTGACTGCATCAAATAAAATCAGCCTCTCCATTTTCGTCCGATCCTTCGTTAACCTTCCATTAAAAGGATAGATATAATATGGCATTATTTAAAACAATTATTGCATTAATGGCTTCGGAAATTAGAAAGAATATATATATATATATACTGTATACAAATTATTCCGAAGAATCCTTATGAATCTTTCATAAAAGCTCAACTAATACAAGAAATAAAAAGTTCAGTGTGTGTGTTTTTTTTAATGAAAATTCAACTTAGATTTCTACTGTCGGTGTGCTTTCCAACAAAAAATCTGAAGCATGAACAGCCTCTTCTTCACTAGCTCACTCTCATGTGATCATCCAACTGAATTGAACGAAGAAAACGTAAAAAAATCGATCTAATCATCGCTGAAGTAATTCAAGAGCCACGAAGCACAAAACCCAAAAATCAACTGCTCTCAAAGTAATTTATCATATTTGTTATTATTGGATAATGCACGACTTCGAAATTCGCCCGCTTTCAGCCTTACTCGCCGATCCACACATTACCACTGGATCAGGGAGTAGCGGGGCAGCCATGGTTTTCCCAGGCAGGCATCGCTTTGCCGCGCCCAACAGCAGCCATGCGTGGTTAGCTAGAAGATCAATACACCTTTTCATAGTTCCACGAGAACTTTCACAGAGCTTCTCCAGCAGACAATGCCACAAATGTCTACTACCTCCGTCTACTCAACGAAAAAGCGCGCGCATGAAGCGTGTTCAATTCGGCATCTATCCATGCCGAAGTTGCCAACGTATGCGGTATGAAGGTTCATTTTGGCAAGTTCCGATCGAAGCTGAACTGTTGAGATTGGTGAATCTCATGGCATTAGGTTTGACGGACCTCGTGTATTATCCGCAGATCATGTTCTCCCGAAGCAAAAGACAACTGCTGTATACATCAGGTAAATGTACGAACAAGGACTCGTCCGGAAGGTATCCATTGAAATCATCTTTGGTTGTTTGTCTATCCCTGATGTGAGTAACGATATATTTATGCAATTCCGTTGAAGCGCAGTACAGTATCATTATTGCGGGTTGCCCGCAGCAGTAATTGGCCCGTCGAAAATGATATTGCCTTTTCAACTCATTAAAAATAAATGTCAATAGAACATCGGTTGTTGAGGGTCATCATTTAACATCACTCCACACGAGAAGCCATAATTTATTATGCATGAATTTTTTTTTCGGACAAACCGATCAGAAATTTGAAAACTACTCGTCCCAACGATATATAGTACAGTATTAGCATGTAAAGTCGACTTTCGGTAAGAAGAATCTCGTTGGAACGAATCGTCGATCGCAACGCAGTCGTTTTTTTTTTTAGGTTCCTCCTAACCAATAGCTGAAATATCAATGAAGAGTTCCTATGTAACGAATTTTCCTTCCAACGATAGTGTACTATATTACTGGCATTCTTTTGATTTGACAAGATTTTACAATTCCCAAATGTTGTTTCAAGTCGTTGCACTTTTTGTGTGAATTATCCATACAGACTTCTCCGCAATGCTTACAAAAAGTATGCCATGTAATTCATGCATAGATCAGCTTAGAAAATAAAGGAAGTATATAGTTCATTTACAGAACAGCACCGTAGTATATAGTACACTACTTATATTACAGCTTATTACTTATGCATGCTATATGTATCTCATCCGTTTCATTAATTCAATTTACCATCACAACAGCGAGTGAAGAAAGCGATAAATATTTATGCCGTAGTCAAGTGAATATGTCCCTTCCTTGATACAGTTCCACTCCGAACATATGCTAACAAATCGCCGATTCTTAAGAACCAATCTTCCTCTACTGAAACACGCATGTCAATCAATATATATAGAACAGTTGTTGAAATAAAAACACCGGAGGCTGAAAACGTCACCATCATTTATCGAAAGCCAATTCGAATGCGCATCAAGCAAGCCGGATATAACCCAGACATGACAAGAAATACAGTGTAGCCTTTGAAACGAAATAATCGCGAAAGTGAAAAAAAAAATCGACTGAAATCCAACAAAAATTCATTACCCTGCATTGACACCACAAAGATCGAACCGAAGCATTTCGGCCATATTCCAACACAGTATGCCTCATTCAATCAATTCGCTATTTCAATAACAGAGCTTCGCCAACAACGCAAACCTCATCGTTCAATGACTTGACCAATTCAGGAGCTTTACAAAGACTTCATTATATCCGCAACGCCGTTTCCAATGGAATCCAATAATTAACGAATGAGAAGACTTATTCAGGTAATTGCAGTTTACAATCCCAAAAATTTTCGGGGGATTACTTTCAGCCAATAATGCCGGTCAGCTGTTATGCCCAACTCAATAAAACGCTTAGGCCAGATTTCACAAAATTGAATCCGTCAGCACATTTAGGAGCGAAGCAGGCTACGTGAATTAAAGATCAGGTCTCACCATATATCGGATTGAATCCACATGATCACACACTCCATCATTAGATAATTCGGCTTACCACTGAGCTCAGTAGCCGTGTGACACAACCATGGCTATGAGATGTAAGGGAAGTGATCTGTGGTCAAAGGGAACCTTATGTCGATTAATGGCTCTTGCTGCCAGGCATTGCAGTGTCACGTATTGCAGCGGTTTCACTTGGGTGACGGGGTCTCCAACTTCTTCTTCTTCCATTCCGTTCTGAGCTTGGTCTTCAATTTCGAGGACCATGGGGACGTTTCCCGCGTACAACGGCGGTGCCTGAACTGTTGAGGGTTCGCTCTTCGACTGTTCGTATATTTCCATGAACGTTAATCCCGCCCTACAACGTAGAAGAATGGGTCAAACGCCGAAAATAATAGTTTCAAACCCTTAGGCAATGACATAGTCGTAATTATGCAATAACGACATACAATCATCGACAAGAAACAATTATAAATTGGATCAAGGATCACGTCGGAAAAATAATTCGAAAGTAATCGATAGAGGAATGCAGTGAACTTCATCGTCGAGTTTTGACTCATTTCTCCACGAGCGGTTAGTATATCCATCAATGGAAATGAGAAAACAAAGTTTTTTTGCAGAGTAATGCAATGCAGCATGGATTACTTCTCAGCTTGAACTTGCACACATTTTGAAATGAGATTATAGCATTCTGTAATTGCTCCCTTCCCAATCTCGTAGTTAAAGCTCTTAGCGAAAGGAATCAACTTCCAAATCTATATCGTATTTCTGCGCCCTTAAAACTGATTTTCTACGATGGAGGAAATACAGTACTGTATCATCAGCAATCCCTCCCACCCCATGCGGACCTTTTCCGACAAAATTCGGCGGGAAAAAGGTACGGTGCATTTCGTACTCTATTAAAATGTGCAAATTAAGAAGAATGTAGGTAAGTTATTTCCCGATTTTATCCTTGCAAATCATGAAGCGAATCTCGCACAGGCGCGCGAATAATTATGACAATGAACATGAATTCGACAATATTTCGTAAAATGAAGGCATCAATTAGGAAGATACGAAACCTATTGACAGTGTCGTAGTGAGCACCGTGAGCCAATAATGCGGAAATGAGGGCAGACTGGTTCAGCGACGGGTGCGCGGCGGCAATATGCAGCGGCGTGCTCAATGAATCATCTACTTCATTTGGATCTGCTCCCATTTCAAGAAGCAACTCCGTCAATTTTAGGGATGGCAGGTTGCACAACGGGCTTCGTGACACAACGGCTGATCGCTTGCTCACAGCAAGATGCAGCGGCGTCATTCCTCCTTGCCCTCGAGCTCCCAACTGCAAAATGCAAGGTAATTTTAATTATTTCTGCAGACTAAGCTACTGTTTCAGCTCTCCGAACACAACGGTTTCACAGGGTCACGTTAAAACTTTAAAAAGGCTTCCGTGAAGAAGATTGCGACAACAAATTTCGAATCTCTGCGTAGAACACCAAATGTTTGCAGTAAAATTAGCCAGACTGAAGAAAAAAATCCAGCAAGAAGTAGCTAAACATGATAACGGTGTTATTAATTTTTAGAGGAATTTAAAAGTAAGATCCAAGCTTCGGATTCGAAATATTGTAGAAGAAAGGGGAGACAGAAATATGATTTCGTTCAAACGGACTTATTCATCGGAACTCCAATAAACGGAGAAAAGAACGTCAAGGAGAAGCATGGGATTCGCGTCAATAAAATGAAGAGCTGTAGTACCCCCGGAAACTTCTATCCATGAATTCAGTTCACAGTTGATTGAACTACCTTCAGAAGAGGGTAGAGTGCTCTCTTGATAGAGTGAGCCATTTCATTGTCGACGAATTGAGGACAAAGAGCCAGCAAACAGGCTAAATGCAGAGTGATCGTGAACGTGCGATGCAAATATAACGTTTCCTTGTCCACATCGAAATTATGCGCCTTGCGGGCCTGCACATGTTCGTTGCCTCGTTTCCATTCTGCCAGTGCTTGTTCGAACACGACGATAAGGTCCGGTACAAACATCGGGACGCTCGCTGAAACAGGAACAAATGGTGTGAATATTGCTGAGTAACATATTATACCGTGAAGGACGAGAAAATTTCGTAACTCGATCAAATTAGCGCTTTCACCAGCACACCAAGAGACAAAACAGTTTCTTCACAGCATAAGAACCGCGGTGAAGCGTTGCAATTAGGATAAGACCCGCTGATTTCGGTCAATACAATACGACATTATTCTCCGCTGGGAGCAACATTTTTGCTACGAATTGTTCTTTTTGATATTTTATTTACGTGTACTGTATTGCATAGTAAACAAAAAATATACTGTACAATATTTTATCGCAACTAAAATAGCTCGTGAAAACTTCATGAACCAGGTCTGGAATTTCTTTCATGTTGATAAGTAAATCGTGGAAATTCTGGGAGACGGCAGAACAACGTTTACAAGTGAAATTTTAAATCGATACACAGAACCGAAAATTATTGAAAAAAAACCTCACTTCGACCTTCATGATTAAAAACTGGTAGCGTGCTCGGTGCGGCTATCTACTCATCATTGAACGCAGAAAATTTCAACCAACAATCCCACTCACCGCTGATTCTTTTGGAAAGAATATACGAGAACAGCTCGGCGAAGGACGACAATGACGACTGCGTCATTAGGGACAGGGGTTCAAGAATTTCTTGCTGCATGCGCAAGGCATATAACCACAATGTGATGCACTTCGGGATGTTTCCTGAAAAATCAAATAGACAAAAATCCCTAAAATTTTGGATTTATTTTCAGTTCTGAAGCTCAGGCTTAGTCAATAAATGCTTTTAACAGATCATAGGATCGTCTGCCTCAGAGAAAAAAGGTAAGGCATTTTGCGCGACAGTTCTCACAATATCAAACAAGCCACAATCTGGCAAAATGAAGATGCACACTCCGGGAGAACGTCATGGGGCTGCATGCTCAGACAACACCTCATTTTTGAAGCAGCGCTGAACACCACGTCCATCGCTCAAAAATATGATATTTTGGCCCGTACAACGAACTACGTTTCACTGCGAAAAACCTATGCGTTTACTGAGCTAGGAATTGTCCATTTCTTGTGAAGTTATAAGATTCAAGGCAACATATAAAAATAGTTCTCCGGATCCAGTGCTTACTTACTCTTTTCCTTCAATGCCCAACTCGCGGGGAAAGCTCAAAGCAAAAGCTGAAGGGCGCGTTGTCAGTCGACCAGAAAGTAACTCCTCTTCATCTCCAGTCTCAAGAATAAGCGATTCTGGGAACACGATTAGTTTAAAAGAGCAAACGGAAACTTGTCTGAACTTCTGGGAATAACTGTGGCTAACTTGTTGGGATTGAGAACAAAAGCCTGTCATGTTGTCCAAAATCATCATTCCCATCATTCCACTGACTGAACAAGTAGAAATCATAACTGAGCTGGAAGAACCACATGCCTGTTGATAAACCCGTGCACTACCAGAAGGACGAGCCCCAACGGTATGTCTCTCCGAGGTAACCAACCTCCGATCATTCAACAATGACAGGGAAGAGGAAATAGAGGCTGACAAGCGCAAGATATCCAATACAATGACAAAATCAAGCGGCTGTCCTCTCGCGGAGAAACGGCCGGAGGCAGCATCGATTTTAGAGAGAGTATGGACAGATCCATAGAGCTCCACCAAGCTCGGAGGATCCCCAGAATCCTCAAATGAGCTTCTCTCCATCCAATATTCCGTTCACTTCTCCAGAGTACCATATTCTACGACCCTGAATAGATGTACAATTTCTCCGGGCTCCGGAGATGAAAAAAAAAAAAAGCGTGAAGTTAAAAAAATGAAATAAACTGTAATGTTCCGGATTAAGCCTGAGCAATTCCAGATACATTATAAAATCTCCTTACAGTATTTACGCAAGTAACACGCGTACCTTATTTTATATCACGGTAAAGAATTAGGGTACAATGGTATGCTGGTACAGTACAAATTTTAGAAAGCATGAAACTAATGGAGCAAGTCATACGCGAGTTTCTGTGGATGAAATTAATAGGAAATTCTTTTTTGTACCAATCCTGTCAAAATAAGTCACGTTAGTCTATTTAATTGAAAGATTATTGTAAAAAAATTTATGAAAAATCGATTTACAGCCCAAAAAAACTAGGGTCTTGCGCAGATATAGGTTTAATGCTGAGAACAGTTTTTAGACAAATGCTACGTGAATGTTGCACTTGCGGGTGCGTGGTATTCAAGTAAATAAGGTGCAGTACTGTAGTCAGATAATATCTAGGGGATACGTTAACCTTACTGTTCATCAAAATCTGTTTACGGCATACAGTATTGCGAGGGAGATCCCGTTTATTACTTATTTTCAAGAGATTTTTGATGAAACCTTCCCGTTTATTCCTGAAATTAATTCGAGCATTTTTCTTGAGTTCCACCCCGTCGTTGGCAGATTTGTTTTTATATCTGAAATAAATTAGACATGGGGAAGAGCTTTTGTTTACTTCAACAAACAAGTGCAATCTTTCATTTGCCTTCAGCGCAGATTCAATTTCCTTTTGGCGTTTTGGCGATGGGAATTTCCCGGAGTCACTGGAGCTTATTGTACTTGCCTGGGGACGTTGCTGCAATGCCCAATATCACATCATTTGATACACACGAATGACTTATTCAAAAATAAGATAAAATTCCCAGACCACTGTACACGTACCAGCATCGGCATAAACAGCCCCACGGTACCGGATGAAGTACGAAGTATCGGGATGCGCAGGTCCTAGGATCCGCTCACGGATGATCAAAGCTTGAATGCGCATTGCGTCGGGATCCGACATCACGTCTTCTAGGTCAGCCTCGGAATTAATCTGCAAAAACGAAGGTGCATCGATGCAAGTAACCTCAACGCAAACAAGAGGACACAAAGATAGCTGGCTCGGCTCTCGGCACCGAAGACAAGCTCGCATATCACGCGAACACGGATCCGCCCACGCTTCAGCGAGAACGTGAAGGGGTGATATGGGAAGCGGTTATCCAACGGCGCCTAGTGAAAAGTTGTTCATTCCACGTATCAATAAGACCGACCCGAGAGCGGCTACAGGCGTCGAACTTTTTATGCAGCCCTCGCACATCCGCCCCGGGGGGCATGAAAAATCATCTCTTTCGCTTGTCCCACGCAAAGCAAGCTCGAGGATTCAGAGGCGGAATTGAATTTCAAAAGGAACACGCGTTCACACCAAACATTCAAGCGGATTTTCGTTCGTAAGCGCAATTTAAAAGCTACATTTTCAGAATTACGCCGAAAAAGTGCCGTATTCATCCGAACACACGAGCACTGGTTCCGCAAAGAATTTTCCAAAAAATCAGCATGCGTCTTGAATTCAGTAGCGTCTTAAATACGGTGGTTTCTCTGATTCCCAGATCAATAAGTCCCTGATTGCTGTAGAGTGCAGACTATCGCAACTTATTGATTGAAAACTGGGATGAACTCGAACAAATGATTTAATCGCTTAAAAGATCAGTTCAAGACGACAAGAAATAAAAACCAGATTCCCTTTTAAATTACAGCATTAGAGGATGCATGCAATAAGCTGGAGACTGAAGCACAAATGAATATGCACCTGGTTTTCACGAATTGAATGTACAATAAGTATAATAAAAGTATATTATTCGCTGGCAAAATTAGTTTCATTTTCTATGCCCAAAAACGACGTATTTCGCCACCGATGGCGTCAGCCATTTGAGTATTGCATATCGTACATGGGAAAAGCACGCAGATATGGACACAGACTCGGAAAATTTCATCAGGAATCCAAAAGAAGTATTGGGTCTTTCATGAGATTCTGCAATTGATTCAAAAAACACAGTGAAGCAGGGTATTTGTTTCTTTATGAGAAAGTAAATGTTTTACACTGAAGAGAGCCAAATCAACGAATGGGACCGCTTTACGATACAGAGTAAATTACAATAGTAAACTGCTTTTGGTACTGTAATCGTTTCCAGTTCTTCAGCATGAACACGAGAGGAAAACCGCAGACATCAGCATACCTCTGTTGCGCCGCCAAAAGCAGCTATTGGAGACTGAGTCGGAGGCTTTGGCAGGTTCACTAGCTTTCGTTCTTGGAGAGCTCGCTTCCACAGGCTCGCTGCACCCAACATATCCCTTTTTTTGTCCATGAATGTGGCTCCCAAAAGTTCCATGGCCTCGATTCTTTCGCGTGGACTTATGAAATCCATGCCGATTAGGTAATCAACAATGTGGGAATGTCCCGTTACCGCAGCAGCCAACAACGGCGTCATCCCTGGAATAACCACAACCAAGTTCGTTTTACGGTCTTCAAAGAGATAATTAATACGCGACGAAAATACATTTTACGGGTTATTTCAAGGATACGACCGCTAAGTGGACCATTCAAAGAAAACAACGTTCGCATACCTTAAATACGAGAAATATCTGAAACCCAAATGTCCATCTCGCCGATGAAGAAATTACGAATTTTCTTCGAAAACAGATTTTTCTGCTTTCGACGAATTCCTTGATAGCAATGTCATAAACACAGCAGAATAATTATTCAGAAGCTGTGAATGCGAGCTTTTATGCCAGGAATGCGCGATGAAACGACAAATACGTGTGAATTTCACAGATTGAAAATTTCAACTTCCGGTGTTGGAAGCGGAAAACGGGACGAAGCATTCCTCCCGAGAGTTCTTCCAGCTCAATGAGAATACCGTACTCATCATCACGTAGTTTGGACTAGGTCTGCTACAGTAGTATTTCTTAATGAAGATCAACTCACCATACGAATCGACGTCAATAGTTGCACCATGTCTCAGCAGCAACATCATGATAAGCAGACTTCCGGACTCGGCACAATCATGCAGAGCCGTGTTGCCCTTGACGCTTTTTCTATTCACGTTTGCCCCAAGCTGCAACAAGTACTTGGCGATATCGTAATGTCCTTTGTAACATGCGATCATCAAGCAAGTGTGTCCATGTCGGTTGGCGATTTCGATGTCTGAAATGAAACGATCATTACTCCGTCAGTCGAACGAGTTACGACTCCACGCATTTCAGTCCCGCCCTGACAGGGTCTGATTGCTTGATGTGTAGCAAGAAACCTTTAATGCATTCACAACAGGAAAGTAACGATCGTTATGCATCACAGCGATATTCAACATCTTGTGAGCACTGAATACTATCGATTTACTGCGGGTATAGAATACAGAGTACTGCAACGCGGTACCGTCATGAAGTTTAGTCTTCGGAAATAACAGTAATTCTTTTACACAGAATGCAGTGACTTATACACATGGAGAAACTCGCGGGACCGCTTCCATCATATACAGCGTTAATATATTCCAAGTACCTGTAAGGTATTCCGAACAAAAAACGGCATCAGGCACAAAGAACGAACAGCATTCTCGAGGTCAATAATGAGATTTTATTATCGCAAGATCGCGATAAATTTATTAAAAAGAAGCGAGAGAAAAATTGCTAGAGTACCGGTAACATTTTTAGCGTCTCGGAGTTTTGCTAGATAAGATCACCGAAGCAGGAATATAAATGGAAGAAATGGTTTTCCTGCGCAGAAAAGCTCAACCGTGCTCCAGAAAATTAAATGGAAGTTTTTCAAGGAATATAAACATTAAAGGTCATTCTCAGCTCGAAAATTGAAAGCTTTTCGAGTGCAGTAGTTATCTTCTGATCAGTTCAAGTAAGAAATAACTTGGATGAGGCAGGAGTGCAAACCTCAGAGGAGATTTAAGAACGCGAGGGGTTATAAATTATTATAGCAATTGAGTCCGACAGTTGCGCCATTTTACTGAAGGTCAAGAACTTCAAGATCGCTCCCCATCACGCATACAACGCAGCGGTCACTCAATTCGCATCAGTGAACGGCATCAACACAACCTCGCATTTTCAATTACGTTCGAATGAACCGAAAATGCCATCACTTCGTTTACGATTCGACAAATCGTACGCTTATGGTGACCAGCTAAGCGGCCCTTCAGAGACTTTTAACCCTGCCCGAGCATCATACCCGGAATGTTTCAAGTGCATTCCATAAATAACTTTATTCCAACGTCGAAGAATACGTAAGAAAATTCGATTTTACAATCCAGCAGAGTATTGAACGTAGAATGTGGTCAAAGAGAAAGATGAATCACGCTCAACCATTTGATCCGGTAAGAGTTAACTTTACAGTTTGCTGAACTTAGATGTTACTTAACTTTACACTTCACGCTCAACGATACTTGGCACAAGACCTAAAAGACAAGAATGCAACAAACTGAAAAGACAAAGTATAACCCCTCGGGACGCAGATCCACATGAATATAAATACAACGCAAATAAACCTAAATTGATTTTTCCAAAGCGCTACCCTTAATACCATGAGATTTCCACACCTAACTATGGGGCAATCAAACGCATTGCAACATGCGTTTCGAAATTGCACACGCCAGATACGAGTAAAGTTCGGGATTGACAATTTTAGACCAAATTTTGAGATCATTGATGAAAAAAGAGGATGAAGATATTATGCGAAAAATGTACTGATAGGCTCCAGGCTGATCCACAGAAGTAAAACACGTTCCTTTCGACGGACTTCACTTGAGGAAAATGCAGCAAAAACTAGTAAAAGAACCATTATGTCGCAAAGTCTTGGCTTGTAGATTCCAAATCGCCATAAAATCACAATCATTTCAGTATTCTCGAAATGCGAGAAGTTAACATGTCATAGAATAAGCATTTTTTTCGGCTTTCATAGTTCAGTAATGAGATAGTGTATTGTACAGTACTTTCGAAAATGTTTCTAGGTTCTCATTTTTATGGTTGGCTTCTTTAAACGTCCATTAAAACATCGCAATTTGTATTATCATAGCAGACCACCTATTTTATCGTGCATACAGTAAATAATTTTAGTAAAATTCTCCATCGTTTTTTGCTGCTCCCTTATCGTTGAGGGGAAATTTTATATTTCTGGATGGTGCATGGCTGAAGGGTTTACTCGGTGAATCAGACATTCTACGAAGTCGCCCAGATTATAATTCCGATTTTAAAACGCTGGACCAGTTTAAAACCAGAATAATACGTTGATTCGAGACGGAACATTTTCGAGGACATGCGGGACGACCCGAGTTCCCACGGTCTTCTACCTTCACGACGAAGCAGGCACAAGGCCTTTTCCCGCAGGCTAGATGTACCCAGCACTAATAGAAACCGAGATATACGGATTCCGAACTTTTAATCCACGACTCACCAGCGTGTTGCTTGATCAGGTATTTGACGATAGAGAAATGTCCGTCGAAACAAGCTGCCCTGAGCGGTGTCGAGTTCGTCTTGGTGGTGGCATTCACGTTGGCCCCGCGTGATATGAGGAGCTTCACGATGTCTAGGTTTCCGGCAGCCGATGCGCACCAGAGCGGAGGAGCTCCTTCGATCGTCTCCCCATCAAAAGTCACTGGAAAATCGGACAGACACGACATTTCATTACTCACAGCCTTCCGAAACAAAAACGAAAAAGACGTCGACAAGGAAGATGAAAAAAAAAAAAAGAGTTCAAGGGTCAGGGTCACTGCGAGGATCACGAATGCTTCGTCGTGCACTCGGAATGTTCCTCGTCCAGGAAACAAAAACTCGGGACATGAGAAAAACAGCACTCCTCCCTACCCTCATCACGACGGAGTTTCAAAACAAGCCATCTCAGTCAAAAATCACCTCCCCCAGTCAAAGCCCTCTGCGGATCCACATGCCCCACGAATCCAACTGCCTCGTAAACAAATCTGTGTCGAAAAAAATCCTCATAAAATCGTTGCTCTTCCTCTCGGCTGAATCTTCTCTGAACTATCATATTTTCCACACGGGTGTTCCCACATTTGAATAAAATAACAGCGGAAATCCAGAGGTGAAAAGACAATAGTAATGTTGAAATCGGATAAATTCATCCAGTCCTATAGTTTCAATTGTTCAACGAAATACGGTATGTGACAGTAACGCTACCGAATACAGTACTAAAATCAGATTCCCCGAAATGACGACAAAAGAAAGAAAGAAAGACGTGATTTGTGAATATTGTGCTCAACGAAATATACTGTACAACCAAGTTCGCACCTCTGCAGGAAAACAGCGTCACTTCACTTTAGCTGGAGGAGGCAGCCTAACTTTACTCACGTACGACGCGCACATTTTGTCTGAAATCAAAGAATCAGCGACAAGTAAGCATTTAAATTTAAGGGGAGCTTTTCCTCGATTTTCCTGCTTAAAATCATAAATCGCATCTCACATGGCACGTAGTACACGAATGTATATATTATTTAAGAATATTTAGAACTCATTCGCGCGAGGTGAAGTTGATTGGAGAAAGAAAACCTCTTCGGTTCGACAGGATCGTGATGAAATCTCAGGTGGTCGAACAGATCAAGAGAATAAAAAGGAAAAAAGTGTCGTTTGAAAATAAAACAAAGGAAAATTATCTCACGATAAACCGCGATCGTTGCTGCAGCCATAAAAATTTCCCAGGTTACTTCAGGAAACAGCGCGAGGACCACGAACTGTTAATGGTAAAAATAGAAAATAGCTATCAAATTTGCAGTTTTTGCAAGGAGTGAGAGAGAAAGACAAGGTCAATCGTGACTCCGACCACAAGGGAACTTCGAGAAACAAGACAGATTGATTTCGTATTTATCGGCGGCAATGGCTGAATTATGTATAAAACGAACAACATTTGAATTCAGCACGATTAATTCACTTCCGAACTCTTGTGACCTTCACTTCGATGGCGCTTCGTTTTCTTCAGAAAATTTTCAAAATCCAGAAGCGAAGTTTGCAGCAGCGTTATAGCAGAATGAAAGCGGAAGTTGAGTGATTACAGGCCGCATCTCCTAGATGCTTTTCCGGAAGCAGGATTTCTGTCGGCCTAATTTTACGCGTCACATCGAATACAGGCCACACTTTCGATTCAATGCGACCAAATGTCGAACGCCTCAATCGCAAGCCGCAGCCGAGTTTTTCAACTCTTTTCGGGGGAGGGAAGTACTGTACTGTACCGCTGATAGTTTTAGAAGCTTGTTTAAAAAATCAGTACTGTACAGTAGTTAATTTTCATTTTTGTCACACATTTCGAGAACAGACTGTGAGTCGCCAACCTCCAGTCCATTACACAGATTACGGGCATCACTTAGGTTTCTGCGGAGATGTCTGTCTCTTCGTCCCCATCCTGGATAAATGGGACGCGGGAACGAGATGAGTGAAAGAGGAATCAGTGATTCTAGTTGCACTGCCTGTTGGCATTGGATAGAATGAACTGCTGCCCTTTCTGGCATTTATCATTGCGTCATTATTCTTAAACCAGAATAAATTTACATTTTCATTTTAAATTTTCTATACATTTACGGAGGAGTTGTCACGGAAAATAATACATTTACAGCAACTCAATCTTGAAATAATCAATCAACAGCTGTGTCTCATCTAAAAATAATACATTTGACAATCCTACAAAATCGCGGGATTAATCCTGTCTCCGTGCAGTTCGGACAATTTATGCGAGCAGTGTTTTTTTAAGCGGTGAAAGTCGAAGAGCAAGTATATATTAACCTTTTAATTGTAAAATAAGAATTGAAGGAAGAAGCATATTACTGGAAAGATTCGAAAAATATATTGCCGATATAAATCGGATGAATCATCAATGCCACTCAGAAAATTGACACAAGGGTAATCATAGCATGTAAACAAACAAAAATCGATGATGGTTTATCGATGCGCTCATGATTTTTTTTAGATTGGAAAAATTAAAACAAGGCATCTATTCCAGCTTAAAATCTCTATAGACCTGAAATGGCGGCAGTGTGATTATGCAACAGATAATGAATTCCCCAGTATTCATGGGATTGTTGCTGTTCTGTCTTTGACTTCGATCATTATTGTGATGAACAATCGATATTTCTCCATCGGATTTTTCATTTCCTCCTCGAAAGTGAAATCTTATGAAGATGACATTTGTACAGTACTGTATGGACACGATCATAGGCCACAATCAGATTCAGGCTGCAATTCAAGAGGTACATGGGTAGGCAAAAAAGTATCCTTCGGCGGGGGGTGCGTTCCACAAAAAGACTAAATTCAGTACTGTATTCCCAATTCACATGACAGAATTTATTAAAAAGTGGGGGAAAACAGAAATGTTCTGAGGTCAAGGTATAGCGAAAAGGAGGGACAGTTAATAAGCGTCAGACGATGCGGGACGCTGTTCTTCGTAGCTTCAATGCGTAACGTACATAGGATAATTCCCATTGTTTTTGTTAAGATTTCATGGAATCAGAACATGGTGGTAGACTATACAAATGGAACTACTCAATTTACTTGATATTTTTAGTATTGACAGATTCTGATTTTCGGGGACATATTTCAGAAAAATGCGTTCTATAAATGTGTGAATGCGTTGAATCATTCAAAAAGTAAAGCTGCACTCATCATTCTCTGGTACGGCAAAATCGAGGCTCCGCGATTCAGTTACAATCCAGGAAAAGACGTTACTAAAGCTCATTCAGAAAAAATATAGAAAGATATCAGGGGAGCAAAATCTGTGCAGTGATCAGGAAGCAGTCTTTAAGCTGCCCTTTGAATGGCATGTTCACAGATTGGACTCCCGGGAATGCGGCAGCGAAAGAGGCCTCTGAAGGTAGCCTCGCAGCAACGCGGCGAGTCACGTACTGCACTGGAATCGTGGCGGTGAACCCTTCATGCATTCTCGATCTAAACCTCCAAGAGATCTCACCACTCTTTTGTCACGTCACTTTGCACAATGGGATCAGGATTTCCATCCATCTGCAAATTCTCAGCAGCTATTGATCGTCCAGTTTCTCGTACGGAACACGCTCTGACCTTCGCCGCAGGAGGATTTTCAGTAGAAGCGATGTGCTTCGATGCGTAACGGAACGCAGGGGAATAAAATCGAAAATATTCTATATATATATATATATATATATATATATATATATATATATATATATATATGGTGGAAGCTGGCCCTCAACCTCCACCTCTCGACCATGGCTCAACAGATTCCTGGCGGAGAGATTCCGCCGGAGTTCTTTGACCATTACGAGGGCTCTTCGTCTTCCCTACGAACTGTACTTAAAACGGTCGTTCAATCCACGACCGACGGAAAATTTTGTTTTCCAGGATACGGCCGCCTTGAAATCACCTCACGCGACCCGGAAAAGGCATCATAAAATTTTTCGAAGAGGCTTTCGGTGAATACTACGCCAAGTGTTCCCCTTAATAGAACATCCATGGAGAGAGTCGGAAGACGACCGAACAATGCCATGGAAACCTATTTACCAACCAGGAATACCACTCTTCCTCGATTAAGGGACGCATCCTCTTCAATGAGCTACAAAATTCAACGTGCAGCCTAAACTCGAGATGCGATAAAATATACGCAAACTTTGGACATCATTATAGAAAAAATGGCCGGGTTCATCGCTACATTCGCTGAATTTTTACTCGAACAATTATATGTGTCTGGCGGTCTTAGTTCTCGCTCCTCACATCACTGCGCAACGCAGGGTGTGGCCTACAGATGCGTGAAAATTGTACAGTCGTCTGTGCGGTTCATGTTCGATGGGAGATATACAAATACAGTTAACTAAAATTTGACACTTTGGTCATCATTTCCACTTGGCTCGCTCGAAAGTGTCAACAAGACACAACAAATGACCCTCATGCAACGTCGACAAACGATCTTATCTGTTCCGTTCTGTTTTTATCAACTCCACCTTGAACTTATCTTTCAATTTGTTCACAAAATTTTGCGGAAATCTATGACAAGAAATCGCTCCGCGAAACTTAATCTGCTGGAAGACCTCAAACTCACGTCAATTGATTTGTTAATCTTCAGATGAAACAAATTCAAATTTTAATCCAAAAAGCGATGATCGAACTATCAACGTCGCAGTGTTACCATACAGAAACAAAACTATTCAAGATGCAAAAAGCGGGTCTCTCCGTTTCCTTGAAATCTCACATTCGAAATGCTCCGCAGCAAGGCTAACGGTGCGATTTGCAAGCAAATTACAGTACTAAACGTTTAATAGAAATTGGCCAATTTTACATGTCTTTTTTGTACTTAGTACGGCGATGAAGATAATCTTAGGAAGGACAGATACGTAAGTAATATCAAAAAATTTTAAATTCCATCATCCTTCGGAAATGAATGTTCGTTAAACAGAGATCTGGATCAATCATTGGCTGTCGTCAAGGGGGGGGGGTACAGTATACGCTAATAGGGATTAAATAAATGGTCCAGGTGGCTTGTTCCGCATCAACGCAGCTGACCGTAATTTATGGACGTGAGATATATCATACTGAAGTATAGGTGACGAAGCCGACTATTTCCGGATTGGATGCACGACACGGGACAGGAACCGAGTGTGTACCTTATTGAAGCAGAGGACCTTGAAT